AATGAGTTCTAACTGGCAGTAATGCCAAAGAATGTACAGGGGAAGTTATTAGAACCAATGGATTGTAAATAGGAAGAAAGAAATGTGGATGGAAAAATAACCAGCCGCGAGCATATATATATATATATATATATATATATATATATATATATATATATATATATATACATATATATATATATATATATATATATATATATATATATATATATATATATATATATATATATATATATATGTATGGGCGTTAATACCTATCTTTGTTTTTGCTAAAGTGAAAAAAGAAGGGGGAGGGGTCGTAGCAGCTGTCAGTGCCCCCCTGGTTTCCAACCTGTGGGGGCGATGACCCCCATAGTTCCCCCCGGTTTAGCAGCCTCTAAACAGGTGAAGTTTTTGTGAAAATACGTGGCGACTCTTGTTTTCGAATATAGCCCGCAGAGTACGAATATCAGATTCGCGTGATTTTCTGCAGCCACGTCGCATAGGTAAATAATATTGTGTAACCTTTGCAGTTGAAACTCACCTTCTTTTCCCGCGTATAGCATTCGTCAGTGCTTTTGTAGTGCATGAATTTTATAACATTCATTGCAAGCGGAAAGTGGCGCAGACTCACGATTTGCGCTTCCAAACTTGGTGTGCACTGTGCCGCTTGTTTTGCACGTTCGTTGATAGATGCCAGCACACTGCAAGCAATTTCTTTGTTCCCTGGTATCGAAGCGAAATGTTCTACGCACTCTCATATAAACGTGGCGAGTGACGCCGTGTTGAGGTTGCGCAATGGCGCGCTGTTGGTGCTATCAAAGTCGTTTGGCGGAGAGAACTCCTTAGATTACTTTCAGCAGTGATGTTCAAAGGAACCGTCTTGACGTCGAGGATTTTCCACTGGACGTAGATGGTTGTTAACGCGCCGAGAGTGACAGCGACGACGAACGAGCAGCGAGTGCATATCGCGTCCCATCATGCGTTATGTTTTTTAACGCGATAGCGTAAAGAGCTCGTGTCGCAGAAGACCCGGCGCTGGTGTGAGTCCTGTTGGTTGTGAGCTAAAAATTATCTGTGCACCTGTGACCGAAAAAATAAGTTACCGAGGCCACTACTTACCCACGCGTGCGCGCGAGATCACACTGAGAAGGCCGCGCATTCGACGAAACAAAAAGTGCTGAAGGTCCCATGGCGGGGTAGTTCCTTTGCCCTGCCACCGCTTCCTCATATAGAAATATACCATATAAAGAGTAGCCACAGGAGCCTTTTTCCGGCCCATGAAAGGGTCTGACTGACCATTGAATGACCCACCGATCCTCGCTTTTACTCCTTTTTAAGACATGTAATAACCTCCTCAGGAGGACAATAATTACGCAGGTTTGACATCAATTGTTTGTGAAAAAAATTTCAATAACTTGTTGAATTTTTTATATCTGCTCTATATCTTGTTCCGCTTAGCACATTTAATTCCTTACAACAGAAAACTGCATAGTATGACTAGAAAACCTCGTCTTTCTGCATTTGTTTTGCACAGAGGCATATTCATGTGGTTTAAATGTGCTGTACATATATTTCCATCCCGGAAGCATGGGTGTGTAGCCTAGTGAAAAAGACACTCGCTTTCGGAGCATGAAGGTTCAGGTTCAAATCCCATCATCGTAAAGAAGAAAATTTTGTTATTTTATTGGTGTTGAAGGCATTATCGGCTCTGACCAACACTCGTGGCGCTAAAAGGAGCGCAGTAGCTCCTTTCCGACACTTCTTTACGGGAGTGTCCGCTATTTATGTAAGCGTATTTCTCTATGCCTCCCTGATTATTTCCAGCCCTTTCGTCGGGACTAGAGAAGAGATTATGTAATTGCGGCATGCGACAAAGCTTTATAACTCCACTCACACTGGGCGGATTCTTAAAAGTTTTGAGGAGTTTAATTCGTGATGCAATAAGCTTTTCTAGTGTTTTCTTTTTCATGCTCGTAAGTGACTTTGATTGTATTTATTGTATAATATCCTTGAGCGAGCTCAAATCAAAACATAATATAGCTTTTCTTGTGCATTGCATGTATCTTGATTACAGTGAATATTACAAAACACCGCGTGCCTCCAATACGCTCGAGCTCGACCAGCGAAGCGAAATTTTTGGAGCAATGAAATAGGCACGCAGTTACGACTACAGTCCACGCTAGCTTCTCCTGCACTTCACCGGTGCTGTCGGAACGACGTTGTTATTCAGCACATTTGCACAGTTTTGACGTTGCGAAAAGCCTACGCATATATTCGTTTCGTTATCCTTGTTTCGATCGCGCTGATGGAACCTGCAACATCTGAGTGCAGTGAATTGCACGCTGTTGGAGTCTGATCAAGGCTGTGACACAAGCGCTACCTAATGGGAAGTTGAATGGTTGTGCTTCATTGAACAAGCAGCTGCATGATGCTTACAGCGCAAGTAATGACGATGGCGTAATGTGTTTGCAAACCATCGCTACGGTAAACATTCGGTCCTGTGCCGCCGCGACTGCGTTGTACTGGCTATTGGCCTACTAATGCGGCTAATTGGCCAGGCAGGATCGGCACAAATTATCTCGGAGTACCGTTCAGTTCATACGTGAATTCTAGTTTATCAGTTTTCGGTAGCACGCACAGGATTACGCAAAGCATCGTTGATACACGGTCGATAAGCTGACACCACCACCCTTTGCACTGCGGCAAGAAATGAGGTAGCGAACATTGAGCAGTTACTACTGGTTGGGAAAGTGATTTGGTACAATACACGTTTATTTGATGGTCAAGAGTTTATCCTGTGAAAGCGGCACGGGGACTACGTCCGTACGTCCTACCTTTTCCTGTTCGAGTTCACGGGTTGGTCAGCCCTCCGCTGCCATCTTGCATTGCACGGCGCGCCACCTATAGGCCATGGGCATTGATAATACGAGCCATCCGTTGATGACAGCCGAGTTAGCGAGACGTCGCGCGCGCTAGTGACTGTGCCCATGAATTCAAAGTTCACATTTGGTGCTCTGGTGACCCTCCCCAGTCACGTCTGGCACATACCCGCCTACCAGCGTCCCTATTATGCGGGTGTGAGCCACAGGTAGTTCGGATTACATATCAGTCAACTAGAGGCAATGCATGCATTGGAACTTTTGAAACCCGACAGTGTTAGGGGCCCTTGCTGGATATGTGTGGTTTAACGTCCCAAAACCACCATGTGATTATGAGAGACGCCGTATTGGAGAACTCTGGAAATTTTGACCACCAGGGTTCTTTAACATGCACCTAAATCTGAGCACACCGGCCTACAACATGTGTTAGGAGCCCTTGTCGTACAAAATGTAGTGTTGGCTTCAGTGTCATTTTTGGAGAGTGAAAAACCCCATCGGATGCAACGCACAAAAGAAGAATTCGAGCTGGAATCGAGCCACGAGTTATAATGGTGGCATTCGTGTATTCTTCCGCAGCGCCATGTTAGGTATGCAAACTGCTTCGGAAAAACATTTTACTCAGGATTCGAGTCGGGGTGAAGTCAACTGTGATAGCAGTATTGGACACTCAATCTTACAGGAAAGCAATATTTTTCATAAATTCATTTCAATGACTCGGCAAGCTATATTTAAGCGTTGCTCAACCGCAGAGAACTGCGCCAACAAACGCTTAGTGCGTCGTCGCACAGTATATAGCGTCTACCTCGTTGCGATAAAACTTGCCTCTCTATTCTTATATAAGTTCCGACTTAACGTCACATCCTACGCTATTCTTCAAGCATCGTTTTATTCGACATGACTCGTAAAACCACGGTATGCACACAGCTACTGCATTTGCGCAAAAGTGTCAATCCGCCATGCAATGCTTTGTTCAACGCCAAGAAATGCAGCATAAGCAAGTACTTACTCGCTGGATGCACTACACAAAATATATTACAGCGAAAGCTGTTATGAGATCACAACTCGCGTCACGTGCAGTTGTCCACCACCGCCGGTGTCCGTAACCACATCGTGCGAAAAAAAAAACCTATCACCAATGACACAGTGGGGCTCGAACACAGGTCCACTGGGTGTCAGCTCAACATTCTACCACTGAGCTACACAGGTGCTTGTGACTTGTTGAAAAACTTGCCTTAGGCAGGCTTGATGTCGGAAAAGCAATCGCGTTAATAAAACTTATAAAGCGTTTGAGAACAGCTAAAAAACAACCAGTTCTCGCACAATGCGATTAGCGTAAAGAGTGGGCCATCCAATGCTCCAGCCCTTTACAAAAGCTTCTTCTTGTTCCCCTATTAACTTTGGTGCGTACCCAATTCAGCCATAATGCCGCATCGTCGTCAGCCACTGCATGAACAATTGGCACAAAATTACTTACAATTGATTAACGGATATCACGCTTCTCAGAAAAACGACAAAAAATATTTTAGCGAATGCCGGCCTACTATCAAAAAAATTATTACCATTGCTCTAGGGGGTATCAAGCAAGTGTGCTTACAGTATATAGTTACCCAATGAGTGTTTTGAAAAGGCGCTGAAAGGCCACTTATAGCTGTCGCTGTGACTGTGCTGCATTTTCCGGGCCGGCCTGGCATTTTTCCAACAATGGTAATGATCTTCGAGAATTTTGTTGCGACAATGCTGTTACCAGTAAGTGATTTTTGGCGAATAAACTTGTCCGGGTTGTTCTAGAATTGAAGTCTACCTTATGATCAGGTAGATCATAATGATCTGCTGCACGTGGTCATACGTAATGTCACTGGCATGAATTACACAATACGCTAGGGTGTATACGAATCCATTCCAGTATTGTTAACCATGAGTCTACTAGTTAAGCATAAAAGCCATTAACCAAAGGTTTGCTGCGAGTGATCCACTGAAACAGGCCCACTGTATAGCGCAGAAAATTCTTACTCCTGGCTGGATTGAACAACAAAACTCGCCACGCCAACCGTATACTGTCTGTGTAAGCTGAGCCACCTTAAGATTGACACTGTGCAGGGTGGCATGTTCACAGAGCGAACCTGCATTTTGCCTTTGCAGATGCTGCTCGTTCGTCGGAAAGCGGGGCAACGGGGCACAGGCCATCTCCATCGGCAAGAACTGCGACAAGTTCGGCATCGTGGTGCACGGGCTAGGCCACGTGTTCGGCATTTGGCACGAGCACACGCGGCCTGACTGCGACCAACACGTCGACATTGTCACCCGCAACATCATGATCGGCCAGGAGTACAACTTCAACAAGCTCACCGAAGAGGAGGCGAGTGAACACTACTGCACCTGTGGGATGCAGGAGGACGTATACCAGTTCGGGCTTGATGGGATAACACATCTGCTTTAGCGTAGTAGGGTGGAAACTTGACGAAAGGCGAGAGGGGACCCCGACTTCCAACTGAGCTTTACCGACTGTATTTTAAAACGAAAGGCTTGAAGTAAGGCCATGTCTTTAACGAAAAAGATCGGGCTTGTATGCGTGAAACGAATCGGGCAAGCTCCATTTCCTAGTACAGCAGGTTCGAGAGAAAGTGAGGACATTGCAATAAGAGAGTGGAGTGATTGAAAGTGATTGGGGGGGGGGGCGATGAGGAAGAAAATTGGAGCTTCGGGTGGGAGAGATTAAAGAAAAGTGCTGAAGCAAGAACTCGGGAAGGAGAAGAAAGGCAAGCGTTAAGCGAAGACTTATTATGATATCTGGGGTTTTTCGTCCTAAAACCAGGAGAGGATTATGAGAGCCACCGCAGTGGAGGGTTCCGGAAATTTTTACCATGTGATGCATCTTAACGTGCATTGACGTCGCACACTACCCGGACCTTCGAAATTTCGCTTCTATCGTCGCTTCACAACAGTACAGCAGCTTGCAGCTGATTTCAGTTCTCGTTCTCATCGTTAATACTTTAGAAAAAGAAACTATGGACCATCTCCTCAAAGGAAACCCTATCCCTACTGAAACGTTCCGTATGAAATCTTACGGAAAATATATGGACTTCATAACATTTTCTTATGCTACATACGGAAAAAAATATGGAGTTTTATGAAAATATACGGAAGTTGTATGGCATTTACGGAAAGCTTCTTATGGAGTATATGGAAGGATAAGGAAATTGTATGGCGTATACGGAATGCTTTTTATGGAGTATACGGAACGAGAAGGAAAATGTATGGCATATATGGAAGGCTTTTTATGGAGTATATGGAAGGATAAGGAAGTTTTATGGCGGGGATGGAGCGAGTTTTATGGAAAATATGGAACGTTAAGGAAACTTATGAAGCATACGGAGAGTTCATTATGGAAGATATGGAAGGATAAGGAAAGTGTGGGGAGTGTACAGAAGCTTTCATAAGGAAAATGCAGAATGTAAGGTCTTACGGAAATATACAGATTTTGTAAGGTGCTTACGAAAATGTGCAATAGTGTATGAAAGGCATGTGGATCGTTGCAAAAATGTGGAAACTCTACAGTTGTCACATTTTCAGCAGGAAATCCGAGCTCTATAAAGTTTAAATGAATGCACAGTGACATATATAGTACAAAAGAATAATGCAGGTTAGTCTGTGTTGTCAGTCACCGCTGTTCGCGCTTTTCCAGAATGAATACAACTTCTGCAGATGACCAGGTGCTAAAGTCTGTCACACGGAAAATGTGTGATTCACAAGGAATGACAATAACTGTCATTTTACTTGCATGCTGTCACACGAAAACATATCAAGCAAAAAAACATAACTTCAAGGGCTCGTTTTTTGGTAGAAACAATAATATAGAGAACTAAATTCAATGTGGAAGAACTTGTCAATATTATTGAAACTGTTCTCATTGGCAAAGAGAAATGTCAATTTAAAATATCGACCATGAGCTTAGCTCTCCTGAGCACCAACAAAAGAATTGAAAATCTATGAAAATAATTGCATGTAGCCTAAAAATGATTTTTTATTGATAGGATGTGCTCCTACAATATAATACAGCTATACACAACTTGCCACCGCTTCACGACAGAAACGAGGTAGGGGCAGAGGGAGTGGTCAGAAAAATAATTATGAGAGCACAACTGATATGTACGGACACATAATGGTGCTTATCATTGATGCTCGGATGGTCGTGTATAGCGCTGGGTCGTTTTGAGATTTTCAAAAGCATTGTTTCAGACCACTATGCAGATTAAGCTTCAATTGTAGTGCTACATAAGACACAACTTATGGGCCAGCTTTAATGATTAAGAAGATTATAGGTTAAACAAATGCTTTAAAATATATCATATCATGGCTGCATGGACGCATACAAGCTATGTAAAGCGCAATAAAGTGAGGACGCATGAGCTTCTCTTGATGCTTCAGTTCTACGTAGATGCTTCAACTGTGCTGCAAAGAAATTTAACCAATGTCTGTGTGTGCAACATTGTTCATTTTAAACTATTTATATGTATATAGAAAATTCCTACTGCGAGTTAAGCTACGTAGCACTCCATAACTCTTCCTTTTATTAAGATCAGTTTTTCAAACAATCCACATTATTCATTTTCTGTCTCATGACTTCATGCCCGGAATTCTTGGTTTGGCTCGATCACAATTGTGCAGCCCTTATTTTGGAGGAATCAAAAAACATCAACCAAAATATATTTTGGAACTGCTTCTCGGGGATATTGCTTTCTCTCAACTGCCACAGCTTGAGATGAGTCATATAGCAAGTCTCGGGCACACCTAGGGCCTACCCTTGAAGAAACTGGTCCGGCTGTGAAATGCTCAGTTTTTTTTTTAAATAAATTTTTTGGTTTGAGTTTTCTCACTTCTCGAGTCCCTTCACAATCAAGCAGACCCAATGTTCCCCTTAGTCCTTAATTTTGTTATAATATGAAATAAATAAAAAAATAATAATGAAAATAAAAATACTAATAACTGTTGCGCAAAAAACACAGTCCCACTTACGTACTTGAACGCAATATTGCTTTTATTTTGTTTTAGAACCTAATGCATTAGAAAAGATAGCAGTACAATAAAAACGTTGAAAAAAAACAAAAAATAGACTTGGCGGGAGTCGAACCTGCGCCACTCAGTTGTGCTCGCGTACGTGAACTGAGTGCGTTAGCTTGCTAAGCTATTCGCGCTGAAGAGTGCACGTGAGTTTAAGTTATGTATATAAATTTGCTTTTTACACGCTATGTGTAAAACTTGTGTACGATATGCGATCGTATCTATTGTTGTGTGCATATGTTTTGTGATTGTATATACGTCACATGCTTTTCGCATGTCTTTCAACTATAGATTGCTGCCCCGCCGGGGATGAAAACAAGTATTTTGACACCCACACACAAGCTTGAGCAGTTGAAGGTTGTTACCCGGGGCTCTCTTGCGATTGAGTCGGCCATTACAGGGAATTAGAGTGATACACCATTAATTCCTGCATCTAGCTGTATTCCACTTAATAGCTCTATCGCTTGATAACAAATCGAACGCGGGGCACGAAGCTTTTGCGCACGACCATGCCTCGCGTAGTGGCGACATCAGCTGATTGCGCCGGCGGGCTTGCTTTGATTTGCTTCAGAGCAAAGAAATGTCATACCTTGAAAGATTGCGTACTGCACTATGTCAAAATGTTACTGCTTTCTAGCCATCCTATGATTCATTGAGAATTGATAACTCTTATATCACTACTGTAGAGCTTTGCTTCGGCGACACGCCCCGAACGTGAAACCGCACTACGTCTGTCGTAGAAGCACTAGGAGGCTGTCGTCTGCTAGAACAAAAACAAAACTAAGACCTGCGAAAATATTCATAAGTTGTAACATGTTTTTTGAATAACCGTTTATCACTTTGAAAGTTATTTTGCCGAATAACATACATTTTTTTCAGTTTATAGCAGCGACAGATGTTTTTTTTTATTTTCCTCACACAGATATCCAAATCAAATCCATTCACAGCTAAAGCCACATGTTGTTTGTCTTCTTTGTTTCCGTGGGCATGCCGTTTCGGTGCGTCTCTCATGTGTTTGCGCTGCTACATACGAGTGCACGAAATGTTAAATTTACGCAAGGAAGCGCCGTTCCTCGTTCGTGTGATGTGCTAAGAATGCGCCTTATTCCCGCGGTTGTTCAAGTGCAGATCAAGTGCGAGTCGTCAAAGGAATCGGCGGGTTGGGCGGGCACTCGAAAGACTGCGAGGTGACGGCTGACGCCTGTGGTCGCTTCCCTCAGGACAGTGTGAAAGAAACTAAAGGTAAGGGGGACACTTTTTTATGTAGACCAAGTATGCCACTCAGTGCAAGTGTGTGTTGCTGCACTCGAACGAGACGTCGTGAAACGGCAACCTTATGCGCCTTTGCGAGTGCGGTTGCCGATTCGCTTTGACAACGCTAACGCCAGCAGAGCCATGGCGCATCGGCGCGGCCTTACTGGAGCTAATTCGAGACAACTGCGGCAACATGCATGTGTATGGTGATCAGTTTTTTCATATGCGCAATGTAGTGAGGAAGACGCACACGGCGCTTGCTACGTTGTTGATTAAACGATGCCTGCAGTGCCATTTGATGCAAAGCAGCATTTTGTTTACATTCGCGGGCGATACAATTTGTAACTTGGCTCGATTCACCTGGCCAACCGCCTAAGTGGGTTGATTAGCATACGTTCACGGTAGAGCGTTAATATGCCCCTAAACAGTCGCGTGTGCTTGTTGAAAGATATAATGTGTGGGCCTAGTGTAGAGAGAGAGAGGTGTTCGTGCAATCTGCATGTGTACCTGCAAGACGCCTTTGCTTGTAACTAATAATGTACCGGCCAGCACCTACATTGTACGCCTGACTTTGAAGAAAACTTGCATGCACATTGTGAGATTTTGTAATCGGCCAGAGTTGCTTTTTATAAAATAATACACTGCCAGTATGTTCAAAATATGTTTCGCTGCTGTGTGGCAGGGGTGGGGTTATCATGCTGTTGTGTAGTTGCTGATGCAAGCACTTATAGTTTTTATGCGTTAATATTTCTCATCTAACTCATCAGGTGTTTGGCTGTTTCAGCACAAACAAGGCAAAGAGAGAAGGAAGACGGGTAATGACAGGACCAGTGCCGACTTTTGTTTGAAGGAGAATACCCATGTTGGTGTATTTATTGTGACAGCCTTTCTGTGTTGCTTTTTTGCCCAATTTATGCAACAACACAGTTGTCAGCAATATGAGAGAGAACAATGAAATTAGCTTTTAAAGATCATGGTGACTAAATGCCTAGTAATTCGCAGCACAAAGTTACAACAAAATACATCAGTATGATCAATGTGGACGAGTACAGTCTTGCATCTAAAAAATATATTGTGCAAAATTTTGCCTAAGTAAGAAACCTCTCTATGTTGGCAAATAGTGTG